GTTCATACTGCCCGAGGTAGTGACAGTCTGGTGTATCCTGGTGGAAGCGTTCGCGCCTTTTAGAGTACCTCCTGTGTTCTCGAGTTTATCGAGACGAGCATCAAGGATATAGACTTACCGGGATATCCTGGCTGTTCCGTAGTCACTCTCAACCACCTCCACATGCAGGCGATAAGTCACAATAACGTGGCTGAAGAATGTTGACCGGACCACACACTAGAAGGTGAAGGGACGACGACGTTTCGGTCCGTCCTGGACCATTCTCAAGTCGATTTGAGAATGGTCCACGACGGACCGAAACGTCGTCGTCCCTTCACCTTCTAGTGTGTGGTCTGGTCAACACCTCCCATATGGTTTTCGTCCTGGTGTTTGGCCAAGGAGCCCTGAACCACTGCGACCAAGTTCTCCAAAAGATATTAGTTTTCCTTCTAGGGAACTTTTTGGGGGAATTCCTAGTTTAGTATTAAATTTAAATTTTCTGAAGGAATTAATACAGAAGTTATTCGTTAGAAAGCGAGTCTACTGTTATTGCCTGGTCAGTGGGCTTAAAGTTATAACTAATAATAATTCTAGATCCACATAACTAGCGTTGTCTAGATTTCTGATTATGCCTCCCTCCCCCAAGCCAGTAAGCCTATGTAACACCTGGGATGGGATACGAGGCCTGGAGGCTGAGATAAGAGGACAATATCGTGAGAACGAAGCTAGGGGGTTAAGACGAATCTACGTCTCTCAGGTGGGTTGAACGGCGCCTTTTATGACGGCTGATTTAAACCAAGCGCGAATTTGCATATTTTGCTAAATCTCACGAAGGTGTCTGGGAGGTAAGGCTACACTACGCGGCTGGTGGCGGGAACGCTTTGCGGTGAGGAAAAAATACCAGGTATGCCCTAATGAGTGAAAGAGGGTGGAAGATAGTGAGGTAATGAGTGAAGGTGAGTGGCAGATACTGGAGAAGACTCGAGTGGAGGCGAGAAAGTTGGTATCAGAAGTCAAGAGGCCGGTAAGTGCATAAATGCAGACTATTCTGGGTTTCGGAAAACTTGGCCTTTGTCGGGGAATACAAAATGTTTACGCTAAGGCAGAATATATAAACAAGTAGCGAAATGCGGAGAAAATGTAATAATGGAGGTGAAACTATTAGAGAGAACTGTGTGTTGTTATGAAGTCCACGGGTACCTGGCTTGATAAATATCTTTGGAGTCCAGGCACTGCCTAACGTCGAGGTGCTCTGAAGAGCAGCAACACTAGTAACAATGGCACAATCGTCAGTAACGGCAGTAACAGCACAATCAGCAACGGTAGCAGCAGCAGCAACAGGACCGTTGGGTCACGATCATAAAATGCCGAGAATCTTGGGTAAGCGTGAAGGCGCTGCAGGTTTCAGGAATGTGAAGAGGAATGCGATGCTCTCTAGACTATTAACTGAAGTTATGTGAAAGACCACCTCTAACCAAGAGAGCGGGGCGGAGATTTGCACAACGCATCCTGCGACCTCTAAAGAGGATGTACGTTTATGTTACGTTGTTGAGTAGTTTAGATACAGTGTTTAGTGAGTTTCATATTTATTTGGTAGTCCTGGATACAGCAGTGTCGTAGACGGTGAGACGGAGCTTGGAGCAGAGCTGAGTGTGGCCGGAGTCGCAGAGCTCTATGTGGGAGAGCGTTGTAGCTCGATGTGGTCCTAGTCTGCTGTCTGTTCTGTGTCGAAGCTGTAGCGTCTTGGAGACGATTAGAACTGCCTACACCGAGTACTACATCTTATCTTGAGATTATCTTGAGTTGATTTCGGGGCTTTAGTGTCCCCGCGGCCCGGTCCTCGACCAGGCCTCCACCCCCAGGAAGCAGCCCGTGACAGCTGACTAACACCTAGGTACCTATTTTACTGCTAGGTAATAGGGGCATAGGGTGAAAGAAACTGCCCATCGTTTCTCGCCGGCGCCCGGGATCGAACCCAGGACCATTGTTACATTGTTGACTGGAAATTGTACTGTCCACTATTCCTCATATCACTTGCTTATATGGTGATTACACCTCAGCTCCCTCCAACAAGATAGGAAGAATATTACCTGTAATCGGGGAAAGGATTGTAGCTTCTGTAATTAGTGCTAATTAGTTATGCTATTCAGATGAGATAATGGAGCGAGTATAAGATTAACTCGCTACAAGGACATGGACCAACAAGACCTTGTACCCCAGATCAGAAACACAGCACTAAGTGTCAATAAGTGGTGTCAGTTCTCTACACGGATGCAAGTTCTCTACACAAGCAAGGGGAGGGGGAAGGGGTCGAGGTATAAGCAAGGGTGAAGGAGTTACTGCCACCTTGGCAATAATTGAGAGAACTTGTGTGTTATATGAAATGAGGTTGTACAAACGGGGGAAGAAAGTCAGTGTAGTCAAGGTGCTTCAGCTACACTAGAGTTTTGAGAAGCATAAATGAACTGGAAATATCTTACAAGATTATATTAAGTATAGCAACGAGGAAAAACCCCTCAGTAAATACCAGTATGGCCACCAAAGAACACGAAAATGAATTCTTAATGGCAACTGTAATGACAATGGGGAAACAAAAGCCAAGATTCCGCTACTTGGATATTTTTATCCCAGGAATATATACTGGGTGATGAAGCCATCCGCCCCATCCTCCAAACCCCCCACCCCCTTAGAATGGGACGAAGCTTGGAGTGCAAAACTTGGACTCGCCAGAAAACAGTTCTTGAGGCAACATAACTGAGGAGAGGCAATGATAGGCAGAGGATACAAGACCCCCCCCCAGCCATACAGGATCTAGTGATTGCCCAAAATAAGGCACTCGTAAGATAGAATAACTTGCCCTAGGAGCCAGTGACTATTGAATTTTAGCTTCTAATTACATAGAACTGAAGGAGAGAGCCGAACCAGGAAGCACGTAAGGCAAGCGTGACTACAGTAGCCGCCTGAGACTCCTACAGCGATCAGTGGAGCCAACACCTTGCATAGTGTCAGGTGTTTGGGGGGGGGAGAGGAAGGAGGAGGAGAGCGTATCAGACGACGGAGGAGGGGTTGGATAGGCTTTAAGGATAGTTTAACAACCCTTATCGTATATTTATAAACCTACCACCAGTGAAATTCTGAAGGAAATTGCAAATTTGGCTCGTCTTACAAGCGCACACAGGCTGGAACGGTGGCGGTTGACAGCACTGCTGATTTGAGTTGCAGCAAAGTGACCGAAATCGTGGGCCAGGAGCGTGTCAAGAAAAATAGATTACCTAAAAACACAAATTTCAGACATTTATGACCAAGCACCTTCATAAATATTTATCAGGGATGTCAGGACATAAAAAAATAGATTCGAAATAAAAAGTGATGGAATCTGCAGCAGAGACAGGCACCCTCCCTGGATGGAGAGTAAATTCAAAAATAGAATATTATGCAGAAAAGCCTAATAAGACACTTGATATTTTGGAGCGTACATCTACATATTGTTGTAGCATTCATGGGACTACGTGCTTAGCCTGGTAATATGGTCTCGACGCCAGAATATACGAATATAAACGGTATCATTAGTACTGCACGAGGCTATGTTGCTGGAATGTTGGGAGTAGGGACGGGGGGGGGAGGTGCGTGTGTTGGGTCCTGAGTAGTGTTGCGAGTGACCAGTGCACCTGTTACAGCTGCTTGTATTCACCTGGGTGTTACAGCGACGTAGCCTCATGATGCTGTTACAGCAGCAGCCAGTCCTCAAACACAGACCGCCATTTTAACTCGACAATAGCGTGAAAATTCCGATGTTTTAACGAAATTAAAAGCACAGGAATATTAAGTTTCTCAGACCAGTGAGTAGCAGCCAAGCTAGGCTAGGTACCCTCTCTTTCTTACGCTTCTAATTAGACAAAACCACTTAAAATTTGACGCTCACCTCGGCTGGACAAATGCTACCAATTCACCAGATTTAGACGCTGTATTACACGTATAAAATATTGAATATTGTTTACAATATGTATGTAGTTTGTGGTCACTTTAGATAACGGGATTAATTGATTTCATAAAATCAATTTACTCATCTGTGGTTGTATATTATTGACTTCATATAGAGATTAAATGCATTATTTACTTAGTTATAATATGTAATGAAAATAGTTATATACTGTTACTCTAGATTTAGAAGTATATTTCTCAGTAACTTATACAAATTATAGTTGTGGCTGGAGTGAACAGGTGTACTCGCCAAATAATAATAAAAAGTTAGTATTATTTATTTACAAGGTACAATAGGTTGGTGAGATTACATAAGATATATTGTTACATTCTTGCATTATAATCGTCGTATTTATTACGGAATTTGCCAGTCCGCAGACAAATGACATTTGTAAAAAATCATGTACTCTAATATTGACATTAACTACACATCGGCCTTGATAGGTTAGGTGGGTTGCTTGGGTTCATCCGTTTCTGGTTAGGTAAAATGGTTGTATTTCTTACGGAGTGGCAAGTAGAGAGAACGGACTGCAACCATCTCTCACACACACTAGGTTATGGGAAGGTAATCTACTAAGTTACTTTTCTTGTGAGAAAATATTTTATTCTAGCATCAGGTTCTTGGGATCTGGCGTAGCCTCTCTGACCCAGGAATGATTCTTGGAACCATTCTTGTTGTTTCAATCCATCGTTACCAGTTAACTGTCACCTTATCGTACATACTGCCACCATTACGCAATAGTTCACCACACTGCCACCACCATCGCTACCTACCACAATCACCACCACCACCACTCACCCTTTGTCCCACTTTCCCACTGTTGATTAATTTATACCTACAAAGAGGCCAACTGAGTGTATTCTGTAAAAAAAATTTAATCTAGATGTCTAGTATAACTTTTTTACTTTGATGCAAGTAATGCCAAATTCATTCATTCATTCTCCCTAAAAATTATATATTTAATTTTATACATTTAGCTTAATTTGTTGATATTGGAAGGCAGTTGAAGAGAAATCTTAATATTTTGATTTTATTTCAGCAATGAGAACCTCTCGGCTCAGGAGATTGAGGTAAGACAATGACATCTCTTCGTGTGTGTGTGTGTGTGTTGACAAGTATGGGGGAGGGAATACTTTCTTATGAGCATGTTATATGCTGTTGTCCTACAATGAGGTATATTACTGTTTTTTTACTAACTATTAATGTGCTGGCGCGGGACAGAGCAAGTTCACACAGCTGTCGCTGGCCTTCAAGACGGACCGGGTGACACTGAGACAGCGGCTGGACGTACAGCAGCGTCTGAGGGACACAGCTGAGACCAACTTCGACACAGAGATCAACCATCTTAGGCTATCCGTTTTGGTACGTCACTCATCCTCTCACTCATCCTCCCTACACCACACAAGCCTTTGTGTGTAAACTTCTGTCTTTTTAATATGTAACCCCCCCCCCTGTCCTACTATACTGGTTCTGATTTGTCACAAAAAATATATATTCGGTTATGCATATATATATTCCGTCCAAACATCCCTAGAACCGGTCCTAAATCCCAGCAGCCACACAACGTAATAACTTTTTTTTTTTTTTTAGTTGCTTCAACGTAATAATGTGATATCAACGTTTAAACACGTTGTGCTTACGTTGTGTGATTGCTGGAGAGTGACCTACCGGCACACCGTAATGTGAATGTATAGTTCTGATTTAGACTTGCACATCTGTTGTGTCCAGCAATTATTGAAGTGATTTGTATATGGTGTTAGAGTACGGTTTGATTGTAATTGTAAATGTTTATATCTTGAAGGCGCTACACGCCGACTGTCTGGACTCTGATCTGGTCGACGCCGTCACGCAAGTCCGCCGACACCTCGACATTTTGGCCACCACCTCGAACAGACTTGTCTCCGCCTCAGAGGTAGGTTCTCCTCCGTCCTCCTGGCTACTCACTCTAATTATACACCTTCATCATGAGTTCTACACTTTAATACATGCTATCAAGGTAGCCTATCCAGTCTTACCCAGTGAATAGTAAGGGTAGACCCTGCATCGTTTTAGTCATGTGTCAGAATGTAGTTTTCTCAAAAATTGTCAAACCCAAAAATTGCATTCCAAATAATATGCATAATATTTCAAATCTTTGTTTGTATTGGTACATATACATTTACTTCAAGGATTTGTATAGTGGTTTTACAAATTTAACAGCAGTAGGTGATGTTGATTGATTTTAAGACTTTGAATCTGTGGTCCTAATTCAACCCTAAAAAAATCGCCCTTCCCCCCTAAGGGGAATTCCTTCCTGGATGAGGCTCTCTGGTCTATTATACACGCCCGGGCACCTGTACAACATAGCGCGGGTGGAGATCAACACTCAACCAGGTTTATAATCAAATTGTACACGAGCACACGGCTCGTTTTCTATTTTATCTATATATCGTTTGAACCTAGACTATACGAAGGATTTATCATTGCAACCCTTGACTTGCAGGATGGTTGGTCATGCAGGGTCATGTGATAGTAGTCAATGATGTATTAGTAAACTTAGGATGCATTATGAAGATATCTTCAAGAACACGAGAGTGGATAAAGTAATTGCAAATCTCCAGGTACAGGAGAGCAGGTATTAGTCTAAGCCACATGTTCTACCCCCAACAGGTTATCATTGTGTTCCTCGGCGACATTTACCAGGAAATATGGGTAATATAATAAGCTCACTAGAGTCTGGTGCCAGTCAACACGCTACGTGGCCACACCATTATTTACCTTGCTTAAACTTTGATAATGTTGTGGTGACGCGGAGTGTGACGTGTAGTGGGCGCACTCTTACACTGCACCGTAATGACAACACTAGTGTAGAACACATTGGTCTTTCAATTGTAACATTTTGAATATAGTTCGTGTAGTTTGATGTTGATTAAATGAAGACTATTATGCGAGCATATGCAGGCGAGGAGTCACAATAACGTGGCTGAAATATGTTGACTAATCCACTTACTAGAAAATGAAGGGACGACGACGTTTCGGTCCGGCCTGGACCATTCTAAAGTCCAAGAGAATGGTCCAGGACGGACCGAAACGTCGTCGTCCCTTCATTTTCTAGTGAGTGGATTGGTCAACATGCGAGCATATGTTGCGCAGTAGTTATAGTAAAGTCGGCTCACAACCTGTTGAACCCGGGTTTGATTCTCGGACAGTGTGTGACGTTTGGCTAGGTGTCCTTTCACTTGATGTGATTGTTCACCTAGCAGTATATATATACCCGCGAGTCAGGAAACTGTTGTGGGCTGTATCCTGGGGAGGGTCAGTCGTTGAGCTAGACAAGGCTGACAGGCCTTCAATCCCGTGACACGTCTGTGGTAGAAAATAATAATAATAATAATAATAATAATAATAATAATAAAAATCCCTGACAATTAGAGACGATTGAATATATTGAATTAAATTTATGGAACTTTTAATTAATGGTTTCTTCCTCGTTTTCAGTATATATAGTTTGATCTTAATTTAGTATTGCCTTTTTTTTCTTTGTGTAACCTAATGTTAATGGATGATACAGTAGCAAATATTAAATTCATGTTTAGTTACAAAATTAAATTCATGTGTAATAAATGACGAAAGTTTTGTTTAGCTGTTACAGTTGCCAGGCTTCAGTGGTAGAGTAGCCTACAACAGATGATAGGCTTGACTGGTGAACGGAATTATACAGTACCAGCTGTTTAAATATACTGTGTAATAACTACTTTGAAATTGTCTTAAAACGATTAAATTACGGGCATAATTAACAATAACTCATACAATATGCAATACATTGGACATTGGTTCTCACTAAGAACCGAAATAAAATTTCGGTTCTTAGTGAGAGCAGGTTGCCCGCCGCTCTGGTAAATGTAAACACAGTTGAAATGGAATTAAAATACAATTAGCAATTTTCTCCTCGAATGAACTTAGACACTTAGGAATTCCAGATAACAGCTCTGTTAGTTATCTCTACCTGTACTTATTGCATCGCAATGCTGATGTCATCAACCCCACACAGGAATTAATTACCATCTCATATCAGAGGAATAAATTCGATACAGGCACTTGAGAAATGCCTGTCTATACAGTATTACTATAAACTTGTAGTATTTAAAACATGTAATTTTAAACACTACAGTGTGTGATGGTAGAACTGGTAGAGGTAGTAACAGTAGTAGTGTATCTAGTGGCAGAAGTAGCAGCAGCAGGTGTAGTGGTAATGTTTATATACCAGTAGTAACAGTCTCGTTGTTCCTCATGTCCCCGCAAATTTCCCTACACGTTTTCATTATTGTAAGGTGTTACTTGCAGACTTGTTCACGCTCCCTACTTTCCCCAACCCTTCTATCTTCCCTGCATTACTATTTCCTTCCCCTCCTCCTTCTCCTTTACTATTTACTTCCCCACCCTCCCCTACCACCACCTTTCCTCTACAATCCCTTAATTGCCACCATTCGAGTCACTTGGTGGTGGTGATAGTTGACTGGGTCTGACGGTGTGTGTGTGGTGGCAGGTGTGGGGCGCCGTGCAGCAGGAGTGGCGCGTGTCGCGGGCCCTGGAGGTCCTCCTGCTACACGTGGAGAACGTTAAGCGCATGTACGAGCGCGACCACCAGGAGCTCGAGGAGCTACGCCGGTGAGTACACGTCGTCGTCGTCGTCGTAGATTCGCAAACTTATTTTAAGCAAAGCCAAAGTAACGTAACCAGTTTGAATAATATACACCGAGACATACAGGGTGTACAGAGGAAATATACAGGGTGTAGCCACTTGTATATGTATACCGAGTGAATATTTCGCTGATACAACAGTATACTTTTGTACTTTGTTGTTTCAAGTACCATAATTTGAGGAGGATGGGTTGTAAGATAAATATATGACTATGTGTAGACGGTTTTATATTTGTGGTTTATTTCAGATTACTTAACGAATACCAAATAGAACTTCCGACAGCCGCCGCCGCTGCCGCCGCCGCAGCTGCGGGGAGGTTGTCAACCTCTGACTCTCCTGGACTAAGCCGGCGGCTGCGCGCGCTCAGTCTCGCAGAATTCACCAATAAGGCATGAGATTAATCCTAAATCTTAGTCATTTTAAATATGCAAAACAAAAGCAAATCCTCCAGGAGGATGAGGTTTGAGATTTATTTCATTTTAAATATTCTGTTTCCCCTAGGCTTCAAACTTTTTTTTGGCTAGATTTTCTGGTTATTTACGAGACTATTGTTCTAGATTCATCAAGCATTTACGAAACCTGTACATCTTCCATCAGTGATGGCAGGTGACTGTTTTTAATAGGACAAATTATGACCTGCAGTGATGTTTATAACAATAATACCATGGGCATTCTTAGAGAGGTTTTTAACTGTTTAATAAGTACAGACTAAGTAGCCATGACTGAGAAAAGATGTACAGGTTTCGTAAGTGAACACGTGTTTGTAACGGGGCTCGGGGGGAAATGGTTCTCTTTTGTCCATTAGCCCGCCCTTAGTTAACTATTTATAGAGTTCCCCCCCCCCGCTCCACAGTTCCTGCTGCAACCTCGTTAGTTCAACACTTTGTCACCTCGGCATTTAATTACCCAGATGCTACGACCACAAGGCATTGTACCTGATCAGCTCCAGCAACTCTAGACAACTCTAGAACATTTCACTGCCACGAACGGAAAATAAAAATGAAAAGAAATGCATAATGAAGTAATGGGTGAAGGTTTGGATTGAGGGAGGCAGAGAGGTAGGAGGAGTCTGGGAGTAGCAAGGAATGGTCAGGTGAAATGGAAAGTTTGACAAGAATCGGAGGGAGAGATTGAGAACGCGGAGTGGAATAGAAGGTAGAAGGGTAGAAAATGGAAGGTAGAAAGTAGCTGCCACCATCTATTCAGTACATCCATGTTCAGTACATCCAAGACAAGGAATGGAACTTGTCTGTACTCTATGCTGTTATCAAATATATCTTTAGCATGTATCAACTGTATCTGCTGTAAGCATGTACTCATACTCTTTAAGTCAGTAAACTCAGAGTACTCTACACTCTAACTTGCAATATATCAGAAAAACCAAGATCTAGTGAACACAATTAAAGTCAGATTAAAAAGTAAGTTAATCAAGTATATATTTAACATAAGTATCATAATTCAAAAAATCGAACTTAATGTTCACTGTCAGGATAAATATACAATGTGAGTCACCACACTAGATATTGAGACCACTACGGCTGTCTGTCCCTGAAATCACACAACACCTTCAGTTGGAAAACCCAAATTTGTCACCTTACAGTTCAACTCGCTAAGGACTGAGGCTAAGTGGATAGAGAGGAGGTAGAGGGGGGGGGGTGACAGGCAGAGTTCCCCCGTCCGGCCGACAGCCTGTCTCGACTGCTGTTCAATCGTCCAGCCTCTCTGTCTACTCTGTTCTCTGCTGATGCTCTGTGCTATCGAATATACAGTTCCCTGGGTATTTATGGGGAACCTTGGAGCTATCTCCGCCTAAGAAGTAGATAGCCTCAGGCCATCTTCCTACTATACCTTAAACGGCGGCTTGTTTGAAATACACACCTGGCTACCTGTCTGCAATTATCAGTTTAGCAGAAAGTAAAGTCAATTCACACGACCTGACTCCTGGTCAACTTGAAGTCATTAGCGCACTAGAGGTGTGGGTTTTTAATTGCTGAGGGTCAGACAATCCGGCGCCTCAAATATCATGTATGACTGACTCATGTTCTATGGGAAATATTAGCTAAACACCTTTATGGTGTTACATGTTGGCGAATCCTGTTCCTCCTCAACCCTTTATAACCTCTAACAACTGGCTAATAATTTATTTACTTGTGTAAAGGTGGAAATGTAGATGTTTATCTCTCAATGTTTGGTAATATGTTTATTGCTTGTGATGTGTTTATATGTATGTATTAAGACGATGTACTGAACGGGGTGAGAATAGCTTGAGCTGCCTCATCCCTTTGTGTGTATTTTACCTCAATAAACTTATTTCAATTTCAATAATTTATTTACATGCAAGTTATGATTTGCTTTCTAGCAATCGCAGGATAATCGACGCATCAGTTTCACAGCCGCCTCAGCCAAGGCGCCAGCCACAGCATTCATTGGTACTCGAGCTACCAGACGGAGAGCTTCTCTAATGCCAGACATGAAGCCTTTTCAAGAATTTGCAGCTGTTGCGGCAGCAGCAGCCGCAGCCGCCGCCGCAGCCGCAGCCAACTCTAGTTCTTCCAATTCTTCAAACACATCTAAAGACAAAACAGAGGAAAATGGGCAGCCTTCAAATGGGTTAGTACACATCATTTTACTCAAACTTATTTACTATAAATACGAGTCGGTTTTCCATTAGGATCGTCTTGCAAAAGGTTATAATTTTCTCATAACAAATGACAGAATAACTTATAATAATCTTTGCTTTTGGAAAAGTAATTTCCTCCATAAATTTTAAGCATCGCTAATTTTCAAATTTTCTTATCAGTACATTCTCCCAAAGTCTGTAAACCGACTTGTTTGAATTTTCTTTATTATTAAAATTGTATTTTTAAAATTATTATTATCTTAATAATAATAATTTTAAATCTAATATTATTTTTAAAATGTTATTCTTTTCTCTGGCATACCTTTGAGTTAGCGAACTTTGTTATCAATATATTATTTACCTGAATTTACACGAGGGCCACTATAATGACCTCGATGGAGACACGAAGCCAGCGGCTTGTCAAATGTCCCTCCATTGTTCCTGAGGATTCTGTTCTATTTGAATTTTAAACTGAAGTAATGTCTTGCCATTCATAGCTTCGGCGGGTAGGCGGTTCCTTGGGTTTATAACCCTGTGGTTGAAAAAGCATCTGTTTTGTGTGCTACGTTGTGGCTTGTTGAGCTTGAAGCTGTTGCTACTTGTATGCGTTACATCTGACTTTTTAAAGAAGTGGTCTGGATAAATATCCTTCAAGCAGGGTTCAATACAGCTGAATAAAACGTTCGTGGATAATTGAGAGGACTTGAGACTATCATAAGAACATGAAGGAATTTGCAGGAGTCCAATTTGCCTTTACCACCAGCTTTTAAGTCTCCAAGCCCACTCGGCATGGAATTTGGTAAATTCAGGTAAATATATATATATATATATATATATATATATATATAAAAAAACAAACATTCAAAGTTGTGTGTTTGCCTTACGGGGTATTCATGCCCGTGCCACCTCTTGGTTGGCTTAGTGTTGACGAATGAACGGTGTGTTAAGCGTTGACTTCATACTCAGGGTGTGGGCCAACAGTATCACCGAGGAGGGCAGTGAGAGCGGCGAGGAAGGCAGCGACACGTCTCCGCAGGTGACCGCTACAGCCTCCACCGTCAACTCCAGTCTAGCCACCACCTTGGCTCAGCTTCACCCGGAGCTCTACGCTCCCGGAGAGTTAGAAGCCCACGACGCTTCCCGAAGGTAAGATGCTGAGAGACTATACGCCACACGGGGAGAGGGGAAGGGGCGTTGAGATTACCTTGAGATGGTTTTAGGGCTTAGCGTCTCCGCGGCCCGGTCCTCGACCAGGTCTCCTATTAATAAATGGGGGACTTTCATACTCCACATGTGGAGGCGACCTGTATACTCCACACGGGGGGAGGATCTGTATACTCTACATGTGGCAGTTGTATACTTGCCACGTGGGGGAGGGGCTGGGCACTTAACAAGTGTACTCGGGCATTTGTGTATCCACTTGCGATCTGTATATCTTTCCTCAGTCATGGTGACTTTGTTTCCATATATTAAACAGTTTGCGCTGCGAAGTACTACGAGGTCGTTTAGACAGACGATAATACCCATGGGTCGAGAACGACCTCTCAGCGTTCACAATCTCGTAAACTGGTTAGTGAACACGGACTCGGTCCCCATGACTGAGGAAAGGTGTACAGGTTTCGCCAATTGGCACGCAAGAGCTTGATCAGTTCTGATCCACTAACAAGTGGGTTAAGGAGGAGCTTAATAAACACATGTAAAGATTATCTGATCAGCCGGGCTGTGCCGGGTGTCAGACTGCGTTCAGCGATGTGCAACAGTCTGGTGCAACACAGTCTTCTGCTCCACGGCTCGACCAGGTCGAGCCGTGGTGATACTGATCCCCGGAACCAAATAAAGTAGCCTCAACAGTCAGAAGACAGGGTTAGTATTGTACTAAAGTAAGTGACTGAATTTCGGGGGTAGGAATAATCCCAGTGGAGGTGAATATAGGAGACCACATATTTTAAGCATAAGTAAGGGATGTTGTGTACTCGCCTAGGTGTGCTTGCAGGGGTTGAGCTTTGCTCTTTGGTCCCGCCTCTCAACCGTACAATCGATGTACAGATTCCTGAGCTTCTCGAGCTCCTCCATATCCACATTTGAAACTTGTGTATAGTCAGCCTCCACCACATCACTTCCTAGTGCATTCCATTTACTTACTACTCTGACACTGGAAAAGTTCTTTCTAATGTGTCTGTGGCTCATTTGGGTACTCGGCTTCCACCTGTGTCCCCTTGTTCGCGTGCCCCGCTGTAAATAATCCATCCTTGTCTACCCTATCAATTCCCCCGAGAATTTTGTATGTAGTTTGTGTGCGTGCGTGTGTGCTTCGGTGGAGGATGCAAGTTTCTTGCTTGCACATAAAAAGTTTTTAAATTTGCTGTGATGTAGATTTGTGTGTAACTGTAATGTTAAACATTAATGTGACATATAAAGGAAGAAAATACCAGAGTAATGGGGGGGGTGAAACAAATGACCCAACTCTCCTCAAACTAATTAAAGTGACGACGTTTCGGTCGTCCTGTGGCCAGGAATTAAGCGCTTACACAACACTTGCGAAACCTGTACATCTTTCCTAAGTTATGACGGCTTTGTTTACATTTATTAAATAGTTTGAGCTCCGATGCACTACGATATATCATAACAATCAATAATAACGTTGGGTTATGAAGTTTCGGAGCGCGTAAACTGTCGAATAAATTTCTCTAAAGCCGCCATGAATTAAGATGTACAGGTTTCGTAGGTAGACGAGTAAATGGTTGACAAATCCTCTCACAGCTGGACACTCCTTCAGACATGAGGGATAACGCTCCAGGCGGGACCCAAACAATCCGCCAGTTTCAGGCCATATACAGAGAGGCTTAGGTTATGTATATCAAGGTTTAATATTATAGTGATTTGTAATACAATAATGCCTTCGTCTTCAGACTAAGTGAAGAGTCCAACGTGTCTTCGGTGTCTCAGTCGTCTGCCCTCGACGCCCCCGCGCCCATCTTCCCACCCGCCCCGCCTCCAAGGCCACAACAGTAAGATCTTGCGAAGATTTCTTTCAGAACCTGAACAGTGGAATTTTAAAGATTTTGCATCTTTAAAATTACTCGGTTGTGTAATTATTGCTGATAATTCTTTGTTTACTTCAAAAATATATTTTTTGTATAATTGCTTTCAGCGTGATCTCGCATATATATATATTGTTTATCTACAAATTATTGATTGGTAGATTGATTTATTAGTTTATTATACGAGTTGTATATATTTTTTCCCCTTCGCACTGATACCACAGCCCCGCTCCTGTGCCAGGTAAGTCTACTACTGGCTCATCATAGCCTGTGTTACTTGGAACTTGTTGTTTAAGATTCAGCTACTGGAAACAAAAACAGCAGCAGCACTGATACCAGTGCTAGGCCAGGGGGAGCTAAGGCCAGGGTGCACCAAACATTTAAGATTCCCATTAGGGAAGATTTCTCTACTCATGCTGAGGCTTTCCCTGGCGCTTGCATAGCTTACACTTGAAGCTAATCAGAGAAATACGGTACATATAAGACAGTACATGGAAAAAAGTAGACAAGGCAAGTAGTTACGAACCGCATCTTAGATTATTGCAACAAAGCCTTGGATCTAAAGACCCGTTGCTGCTTGAATAAATTATTTGTTTATGCATACGTCAGATATATTTCATTTGTTGCAGCTGGTTGCTTGTGGCTGTGGACGATGTGATTGGCTGGGCTCGTGGCGGTCAGTGGCCATACACGTCGCAGGAGACCGTACAGGGAGTACGGTACGCGTTCACATCACTACTGCTGCTACTGGCAGCGTTCTTCCTCCTGGTAACTATTTCTTCTGGTGATTCAAGAGTCCCTCACCCCTACCACCCTGGCTGGACGACCGTTCAACACGTGCTTCATCCGTTTGTCGTTGTGCGATACCTGGGTCACCCTCCAACTTGAGCTAAAAGAAAATCCTAACAGGAAACGGAATGATTTTTTGTAATCAATGGACTTGATTATGTTTTTAAAGCATTTTTAATTTTTTCAGGGAGGGTGGGATGGGGCAGAACCTTAACAGATTTATGCAGTCATTTCACAAATAATACAGGTCACGGGGTCGTTATCAAAGCAACTTGTTTATAAAGTCTAATTTTAATCACATAATGTACACTAGTTATTTTCTTCACTTGTATTACAGTATTTGTAACTATAAAGGTTATACTTTAATGTCTTGAAGAAACTTAATTATTTTGAGCAATGTTAACCCTAATTTGATTATAGGTCATTTTTTCTCATTTCTCCTTTACACTCAGAAAATTTCATTGTTTTGTATATAAAAACATTTTAAATGTTCCAAATTAAGCATTTTAGTTCTATTTATTGACAACAAAAACGTATTTGTGTAATATCTCGTGTGACACATTATATATATATATATATATATATATATATATATATATATATATATATATATATATATATATATATATATATATATATATATATATATATATAATTATTTGTTAATATGTACTTCATATAAAAGCAATTGTTCGTGCTAAATTAGACCTCCAGAATACCCAAAGTAATATTTATCAGTAGTTTACTTATCACAATGCTGCCGTTTCCCCTTCAGCTACAGTACCTGTATTGTGGGATGAAGCGTAAACCTCGGTACACTTACCCGTTTCAAAATTCCTGCTAATCAGTTGTATAGTTTCCTCTATGACTGTTTTAGTTGATCACATTAGATGGGTGTAATAGCTAATGCGTGCCATTCATAGTCCTCATTAACCAGTGCTTTATGTTGCTGCTCTTTTGACCTGACCTATACTGTTTCTTGGCTAATATTCCTGTGTTTAATAGTTTAGCATCTTTATCTGTGGTAAAGATGCCTCAAAGGCCTAATACTGTGTTGTTTTTTAGACAGTGGATATTATGTTTCCTAAGAGGGAGTTATATTTTGATTCTTTTATACAATATTTTACGTGCATAATAGGTAATAAGGACAATTTATTTACTGTGATAAATAGAATTGAAGTCATTTAATTCAATAAAATTTACCAAACTATACCATATTATTTTTTTATAGAATTAAAGTTTGAAGGAAAATTAACTTGACCTGAAGCTACCTGAGGAATATTTATTAATAAAATATATTAAAATCATGTGGTATATTATTATTTTGCCTCCAATACAAATGTCAGTATGTGAGTTAAGGTCCATTATTAGCCACCAAAGATTATTTTAGTAATATGGGACACGTCCCAATGTCTGGCTGGGACGTTAAGCCTATACTTTGAGTACTCAGGGTCCCCCCATCCCATAGGTCGTCCATCCCACAACAGTTGCCTAAGTCCTGGGTACATTTTTTTTTCACTGCTTGGTGAAGAGACATATCAGGTGAAATGTGCCCAACCGTTTCTGTCCTGCCCGGGGTTGAACACTGGTCCATCGATTACAAATCTAGAACATAGACCACTATTCAGTATTTCTAATTGTGAGAGGTAATGTTGAAAGTAGCAATGAATTTTTTATTTAAAAGAATTTCAGAATATGTAATATAAATTACACTCGTGTGATATAAAATGTGTATAGATTTGTTTCTGAAATTTAAAAAATTTTGAATTTATGTAGTGTGGGATTGTTTGTGAAAAATACGTTTTAAGTGCAATAGTTTGACGAGCCTAAAATAGGAACATTTGTTTCATTTAAAAATAAATGGCAAATAATAAACATAATTATTGTAATTTGGATGTTGAAATTAAAAATAATTTATTAGCCTTATGAAAGGAAGCCTTATGACTTCCTTTCGTGTCTGTTTCAATTTCAACTTTTATTTTTGCACTTGCACAGGTGGGTACAAGAGTTGACTGCCGAGAGCTTTTCCTTACCATGGCTCATGGTAAGCCTTACCTACTTGCTTATCCTGGAACACTACACGCCAATCGGTTAACAATCGAGTGCCCAATTACTGCCGAGGTGAACAGAGGCGAACAGTTAAGGCCAGACAATCCTCCCTAACCAGGACTCGAACCTAGACATATCGCTGGTGAGGCGTGGGGCCAGTGTGTGACCATTGCTCCTCCAGGGAATGTCATCACTCTTATGACATTCCCTTATATCCTATTTCCCTTTTATTCCCTTGTATCTAGAATGCCTTATATTCTATCAAAAATTATGTTGGAGAGAGACGAATTAGCGACCACAAAGATATTACATAGCACAAAATTATATAAATAATATAGCCGTACAATGGGATCAAACTCTCATCCTTAGATTCTTCCAGGTACATAAGCTTTAAACTCTGTCTTTTTAAAGGTATGTGACAAGGATATACTACATCCAAAATATTAAGTTAACCTTCAGAGTTCTACCCTCAAGAGGTTATACACTGCTTGAACGGATGCAAGTTTATACACGTCCTACCTAACCTTACCCAACTAGGCCTAATACAGCCTAAACCCAACCTAACAGTGTATACAGTTTAGGCAACACAAAAACGAACTTTTTAGACAATCTTATGAACGATTTGATCACAGTAAACCTCGTCTGAAAAAACCTGCTGAAGATCACAGTAAACCTCGTCTGAAAAAACCTGCTGAAGATCACAGTAAACCTCGTCTGAAAAAACCTGCTGAAGATCACAGTAAACCTCGTCTGAAAAAACCTGCTGAAGATCACAGTAAACCTCGTCTGAAAAAACCTGCTGAAGATCACAGTAAACCTCGTCTGAAAAAACCTGCTGAAGATCACAGTAAACCTCGTCTGAAAAAACCTGCTGAAGATCACAGTAAACCTCGTCTGAAAAAACCTGCTGAAGATCACAGTAAACCTCGTCTGAAAAAACCTGCTGAAGATCACAGTAAACCTCGTCTGAAAAAACCTGCTGAAGAAACTATCAAGGTCTTGGAAGTACACCTGACCTTTCGAAGGAAGCGGAGGATCTACATCAAGACTACACACGAAACTGGCCAGTGTTATCGGTGGTGGAACAGCCATACTAGGTAAGATTAGGTAAATGAGAAGTGTGTTTAACCAGTATGACTATAGAACACTTGAATGGGGGTACGAGGACAAGGAGCTGGGATAGGACGGAATTAAGGAACGGTGCCCAGCCACTTGAACCATCGGGGATCGAACGCCGACCTGTAAGAACTGACGCCGTCGTTGTACCGACCAGTCTTGAGGAGTTGGATCAGATGATACTATTACTGTTTGTGTAAAACTTTAAGGTATGGGTTAATATTATATATGCTAATGTCCCTCTTGGAAATACTTTTGCCCGCTGTATACCCCAACCCACCACACAGGACGCTACTGTGCTCTCCCCCAGAGTTTACTAGTGCAGGCTGGTAGACTACTCTCTCGTCTCATTCTGTGAAGTAAGTGAAGCTGTCGGATGCCATGTTTGCTTCTATATGCATCTGTGCAACGTTACGTAACAGATGAGGATTTGCCTGGTTCTTTTTTCCTTCAATAACCATAATCTTAGTCTGCTGGCGGATCTCTAACGCTAATCCCTGGTATATAAGACAGTGTCAGCACATCGTGGTGTACCAAATTTTGTTAATAAAATAGAGCACGTTGTCTAGGGACTTGAATAGCAGGCATCTCCTCTTGGTTCCACTCGAAATATCCCTTAGACGGCGTTCGTGGCACACTCATCCAGACAACTCTCGTAGCACAGTAGTCTTGCGTCCTCGGATTACAATCGATAAACCCGGGTTCAATCCACGGCCGGTGGGGGAGGGCCTGAAACGGTTGGGCACGTTTCCTTTCACCTGATAACTTTGTTTGCCTGACAATTACTGTGGGTTGCATCCTGGGGAAAGACAAGTTGTGGGCCTCGGGGACTGTGTATAGGCTCCCTGGCTGTCGACTGGGCTATGAGTAGTCTTGATAAGGAAAGTTTCCAACAGCAGCAGCAGTCTGCTGCCAAACTGGAGTTTTCTACTTTCCCTGACGACTACTGAAGTTCAGAGGAATTACTAACTCTTATTAGTTAATTAGAATTAACTAGTTATTAATTTTTAAGACTGCTCATATCCCAGTCAACAGAACTTTGGCCTCACATGTGAGGGGTCCAGGGTTCGAGACCCGTACAGCCAAGGTGAATGAAATATTTATTTCCACGTAAATGTGGATGACAATTAATAGGCTCACTGTCCCCCAGCAACAGGAATAATTATTCTACTAATGAGGTTCCTCATCCATCACACACGGGTGCTGGTAAACTAGAGATAAAATAAGATCTTATCCTATGAGATAGAGATATCTCTATCTTAAGATGGAGAGAATGAACTGATTACCTCAATGTGATATTATCAGAAAGAGCATTGAACTAGACTATATGACCTACAGTAATCCTTACCGACAACACGCACGTGGTCGACTTTCTCTGGTGATCACTTTCCCATTCCCAGCTGTTTGGTCTGGTTGGTACAGCACGGCCGCCCTTCCTGCTGGTTGGTGTTCGATTCCCGATGGTTCCGGTGGTTGGGCGCCATTCCTTCCCTCCGTCCCACCCCAGCTTGAGAGGACACATTGCGGTCCCATTAAATGTGATGGGTCTAGCCTCTCGAGTTGTCAGGAATTATGTACTAAACTGCCTGAACTTGACCGAGGACCCACGTGACAGCCTGTCAACTTAGCGAGCCGCTGTGACTTAAAGTACATCTTTTCTATGTACATCAAATCTTTTAAATGGATTATGCTGCACCTCTGCTTGCTTGGATGCCTGAAAGACAGCTTGAAGGGCTTGACAGATTGCAGAACGAAGCCTTGAGGATAATTCTTGGGTGCCCTCGTACCACAAAGATACTTAACATGAGAAAGAAACTTAATATTTCGAGCGTCGTTGATCGTGTTACTGAAATTAACTGTCAAAGTGGTATAAAAATGTTTAGGCTAACTCATCCTAACCATTGTACAGAAGCCCTCCAGAATTTCTTTATTAAACATTGTTCCAAACATTGGTCAACATTGTTCCAAATGGATAACTAAAACTGGAACTGAACTCAGAATGTATCAGATTAATAATTTGTACCAAGAGGGACAACAACGGCTCTTTTCTGCACCGTGGGAGATTACACCCTTTCTAATTTTAATCCCTTTCCACCCAAAAAGCAAATTAGAGATCAGCCCAAGCTTCGTCTTGAGGCAACGCTCAGCGCCTTAAGCCATATTGATGCTCTCTCCACAGAGCATTCTTTCTTTCAAATCATATACACTGATGGTTCCCTACACCACACCACGGGTGCAGCTGGAAGTGCAGTTGTCCTAACAATGGGCGATGGCCTATACTTTGAGTGGGGAGTCCGTATAAACAACTGGGCCTCTACCCTTCAGACCGAACTATTTACATTGTTCCTTGCACTGAAATGTGTACAAGTCTCCAAACTTGATACATTAATTGTAAGTGACTCTTTATCATCCTTAATTGCTCTCAACTCTTTAAGACATAACTGTAACATGCTCGTTTGAAGCTAGACACAAACACAACAAAATTATTAATTATGGTAACAGAGACCATTTCATGTGATCTTCATCTCATGTTGGCCTCCGAATGCACGATAGGACTGATAAGTTAGCCAAAGAATCTGCCTTTAAAGGAGCCGTTGAGTGTAACCTTGGATTGTCAATGAGCAATCTGAGAGCAGCAGTACACCGAGAACTTCAACAAGATCTTGTAGATCTGAGGCAAAGTTAAATTGACACCAGTAATTCCATCTATCATCATACTATCATGCAAGAGGAGTCACACATCTATGGATCATCCAATAAAATCAGCAGACTTCTAGATGTTACTACTGCTCGGCTTAGACTCGGTTACAAGTAGCTCTGAGAATTCTCATTATCTGCCGATGTAGACCTGACCAAATGTAAACTGTGTCAATAAAATTATTCGCACACCCTCCGTCACTATGTGATGGAGTGCGAAAAGATACGTGAATTTAGAGACAATTCTATAACCAATGTTCCAACGATATGTAAATATTTCATTCAAATTTATTTATTTATTTATTTATATATATACAAGAAGGTACATTGGGTTTGTGAGAATACTAAAAACTAACTCTGCACTGATAAGTCCAAAATCCAGTTGGAAAATTCCCGATGAAAAATGGAGGGAACACTTGATAAACCACCGGCTTCCTGTCCCCGTTGAGGCTAATATAGAGACATGTGGTGACCTTCAGATATGACTTATTCTGGGAATTATATATAAGCAATGAATAATAATATATATACGAGCTGTGTGGTACAAAGAGACGGCCTTGGGAGAATGTACCATCTATACATCAAAATATAACAACAATTAATATATCGTAATGTCTTGTAGGCCTAAATATTTAAACTAAAATTAATGAGGCTGAACTGTTATACGAAACACAAGGTATACGAAACGAGATTAACCAGACGATACGAACCGATCTGTGTACGAAGTGAACACCACAAATAGTGGCGCAAGTGCCAGAGTGCAACACCTCTGTAGGCCTGTGTAACACCTGTATAGGCCTATGCAACACCTGTGTCGTGTGTGGCGGAGAGGATGACGTGACGGGAGGGGGATGAAGTGTGACGTGAGGTGTGAGGAGAGACATCACCATGATGGAGCTGACAGGAGTGCCACCACGAGTGAGTCGTGGGACTGGCACCTGTTGATGTCTGAGTGCCATAGTGTCATAATATATTTATTTATTTTAATTAGTTTGGACCCTATAGCCACCCTGTGGTGGCCAGTTGCATTGAGGTTCGATTAACGTAATGGGTTCCCTTGGGGTCAGGTTCTGGACCCCAATGTACACAGTTCTCTTGTTCTATGGCATCGCTGTTCTTTAAAACTATCCTATCCTAACCTATCCTGTCCTGCCTTATCATAACCAAAAATAGATTAACCTATCCTATGCTGTTCTTTCCTAATCTTGCCCGAAACGCTGTGCGTGCTAGTGGCTTTACAAGAATGTAAATTCAACTTATTTTCTATGTTCTCTGTTAACCCCCAATGTACCTTCTTGTATATAAATAAATAAATCTAACCTCTTATCCTATCATGTCATATCCTATCCTAACATATCTTATACTAATCTGTTATATCCTAATTCAATGTATCCTCTTCTAACATAAAAATAAAATTTAAATGTTCGTTGTAATATATACTCTGAGGTGTGTAACGTCGATGTAATGTCGTGGGCTCGACTCTCAGGAACTTGGAACTTAAGGGCCCTGACGGCTGAGTGGACAGCACTTGGGGTTCGTAGTCCTAAGGGTCCTTGTTTGATCCCTGGCAAAGGCAGAAACAAATGGGCAAAGTTTTTTTTTCGCCGATGTGCCTGTTCACTTAGCAGTAAATAGGTACCTGGGAATTAGACAGCTGCTACAGGCTGCTTCCTGAGTGTGTGTGTGTGAAAATTAGGATTAAGGACTTGCCCAAAATTCTATGCATCCTAGTGGTTGTACAAGAATGTAAGAACCCTTGTACTGTACCAACAATATGCATCCTAGTGGTTGTACAAGAATGTAAGAACCCTTGTACTGTACCAACAATATATCTTGGATAAGTCGCTCCACAAAATTGTTGTTTGGATTGTCGACTTTCTATAGTGTCTTTGCCACTTAGTTTCGTCTAATTTTGTTATAAAATTATATTATTTCAAAGTAAAAATTAAATTTTTCAATTTTTTTTTTTTATGTTTCATGCACGTGTGCCTGTGAGCTTCCTGTCACTGATAAAACAAATGATTATTTTGCTCTGGGTGAGGTTCCTGTCCATGCTCCGTAAGACCTTTAGCAGGTGTGCTAAAGGTCTTAGCATACCTGCATTACTATTTGACGGATGTAACCCCCGTCAAACTCCCCAAATGATAATGTCCTGAAATAATACAAAGCAAGTGTAACAATATTTCAAAAGGGGATTACAATTACAGTATTGTAATAATGAAGCTTCCAAACATATTATTATTATAATTAGAAATATCTCATCTGTTCTAATCGAATTAACTTATATAATGTTTTACTTATACTGTGTATTTATCTTTTCCTTGCAGAATGACCCTGGTCTCAAACTACTACTCCCATTGTATCATTTCCTGCAAAATACTTGCTTAAAAGCCGCTTTTAAAATCCTCGTTGAGGGTTTTCCAAAGGCCCAGTATATCATAGATAACCTCAATGTACATGTTAAACCTACAATGAAATTATTAGACTTGCTATATCAGATCCATAAGAGAGTTAAAACGTCTGGAAAATGTCAAAAAAGGAAAGGAAAAGGTGCATATGGCTCTAATGTACAGCCACCAGAAAAGAGCTTGGCATGCAGGAGATCACAACAGATAACCAATATTGAGGAGAATGCTCATATCCTCTCCCAAGTTACAGTGGAGGATTTGCTAAATGCCGACTGTGAAAAATGTAAAAAGCTACTGGATTTAGATTTAATGTTTGTTTTAAATATGATCATTAATGACACTGTTCAGTATGCTTTGGATTATTCTGTGCTTGAAGCCATTGTTAAGGTAAAAGATATCAGGAAAACAATTTTCCATCCTCAATTCAGTTTTAGTGAGAATGACTTTGACCAAAATCTGAAGGGGTTGGTTGATGCAATGCGTACGTTGTATTCACACCTAGGTTACTCGGAGCAGCAACTGCAGCATGAAGAAAAAGCTTGTCGCCAGAAAGCTAAATGTGCTGGTGATATTGCCCCTGCAATAATAGGTTTGTAATAAATTAATGTTATTCATGATTGCACGGTTGTCCTCATTGAGCTAAAGTTATGTGTTATGTACAATAAACATCATTTGCGGTTTACTCACATATGAACATTTTATTTTTTGTGTAATGTGTCTTTTACACTTACATATTCTTTAATTCTTATTCATGAGATTCAATTACTGTATTTGTCATTAGATGAACTACGGTGTGAAATCCATAAGAAGTATGCAAATACTCAAGGCTTCATTCTTCCCAATATTTCAAATTCACAGTAAGTAGATACCAATTTTTACTGTTGGGTATAAATTAATTACCATTTAATAGTTTTCAATATTGTATTCATAGTATTGTAACTGAGGATAGAAAGATTTCACATACTATATCGTATATTCATTATTGTACTGTGTTCAATCATGATTAAGGCAAAGAAAGCAGCACAAGGGCATGTCCACACCCTTCCATCCAATTGGACTGATCAGTACAACAAAGGCCTTGTATTTTCCTGGGTCAGCGTTCGATTCTCAGTGATCAGGGTATTTTATTTTATTTTATTTATTTTTATTATTTTATTTATATATATACAAGAAGGTACATTGGGTTTGTGAGAATACATTGGATAGTACAGTATATACATTCTTGTAAAGCCACTAGTACGCACAGCATTTCGGGCAGGTCCTTAATCTAGCAGATAATTTTAAGTAGGTAAATTCAATCAGAATTGATAAATGATAAAGATGCATTACAAGAGAAAAATGAGATGAGAGAGATAAGTAGGTATATTAAAGCACATTGTTATATTAAAGCTCTGATTGATTACATTGACAGCTTGATTAGTAATTTAAACAAGGTTAATAGACACCATACAGCAGATTGACAGCACATATAAGACAGCAATGATCACAATGGTAAAGATGTTCAGATTGGGTACATAAAGATTGGGAGACTGGGTAGCAAAAGATACAGATAAACAAGATTTATAAACACCATACAACAGATTGGCAGCACATATAAGAAAACAGAATGATCACAATGGTAAAGATGTACAAATTGGGAACATAAAGGTTGGGAGATTGGGTAGCAATTGATACAGTGCAATTTTAAGGCAAAAAGTGAAAAACTATGAAGATGAAATTAGGTACTTTTTAGTATTGATTTTGAATGATGTAAAAGTTGGACAGCTTTTCAATTCAGTAGGGAGTGAGTTCCATAAACTGGGTCCCTTTATTTGCATAGAGTGTTTACACAGATTAAGTTTAACTCTGGGGATATCAAAGAGATATTTATTTCTGGTGTGGTGATAATGGGTCCTATTACATCTGTCCAAGAAGAGTTTCAGACAAGGATTTGCATTTAAGAACAGGGTTTTGTAAATGTAGTTGACACAAGAGAATTTGTGGAGTGAGATTATGTTTAGCATGTTTAGGGAGTTAAACAAGGGGGCTGTGTGTTGTCTGAAAGCAGAATTTGATATTATTCTGATAGCAGATTTTTGCTGGGTGATGATGGACTTGAGGTGGTTTGCAGTGGTTGAACCCCATGCACAGATACCATAGTTGAGATAGGGATAGATTAGTGCATAATATAGAGAGATGAGAGCAGAGTTAGGAACATAATATCTGATTTTGGAGAGTATACCAACTGTTTTAGAGACTTTCTTAGTTATGTGTTGTATGTGGGTACTGAAGTTGAGTCTCTTGTCTAGGAATATGCCAAGAAACTTTCCATCATTTTTATATTGGGCACCATCCAATTTATATTGGGTATTTGGGCACCATCCCTTCACCCCGTCCTCGTATCCCCGATCCTTGTCCTTGTATTCCTTTTTTAGTGCTAGTCATACTGGCTTGGCACTTTCTCTTGATAATTACCTTATTTTCCACACCATTGTTCAAATCTTATTTGTAATTAAAATATACAGTATAATCATTATGTAAGGGTATTGTGAAGTTCAGTCATATATACAGTATATATACTGTATAGTCTATTCACACAGAAATCACAATAGCGTGATGCGTCATATTTATTCATCATCACGGCCCTTGTGGATTTGTTTATATAGTGTATGTTTGTTTTAAATTTGTGTAGCTACAGGAAGATAGCTATAATTGTATAATTATAATTGTGGTGTTCTGTCGTTTGTATATTATATCACAATTTTGAAACTGTTAAGTTACGGTATACGTTACCTCTTCTGGAGAATATTCTGTCCTCCTTATTAATGTAAATAATTTTGTTATATTTCTATACTGTGACCTTGTGTTTTGTTTTTATCAGGTTGTATGAACTCTTCCCTGTAAATCTTATCCTAGTACAGTGGGCTTCATTTTCAACTCATAACTGGGGATCCCGGGTTCAGTTCCTGGGTTGGACCGATATGATTCAGCCTGTTTCCTTTCACCTAATGTACCAGTTCATCTAGCAGCAAATAGGTACCGGGAGTTAAGCATCTGTCATGGGGTTGCATCACAGGGAAGATCAGTAGTTTGATCTTGGGAGACCTCGATACAAGCTTGAAGTACTGTATATATATTCACAAGCTTCCTGTCCCTGACAAAACAAATTATTATTCAGTATTACTTTACAGGCTTATACGTTATAGCATTTTTCTGATATTCCACTGGAATTGTAAAGGAGTGGACCATGACAGGGCAGTGACAATTTACATACATGTAACAGGGACCTTTTTAGATGTGCCTGTTGTATCATATTTATGTTAGAGAGGCACTGGAAAAATTCTGTCAAACCCAAAGTGACCATGGAATGTTCACTCATAAAAATTTGAAATATCTTCAAATTTGAAGAATTATGTGAAAGGGTATTAAGAGCCTCTGATAAGGAAAGAGAGATAGAAGTGGTTTTGGATAGTAAGTTGTTGTAACGTATGTTATTTGTTGGCAATGTAGTGACGTGTTGTGATAGCTGAGATGAAGCCTGAAGTAGGACACAGAGCTGGAGTGAGGCTGGGGGTAGAGAGCTCGGATGCTTGGTGAGAGCGTAGAGCATGGAGCTCTGAATGTGAGCGAGGTCAAAGAGCTCAAATGCAGGACGAGAGAGTGGAAGCTCAATGTGGGCGGAATCTGGCTGTCTGCTAGACTGAAGTGTCTTGTGAGGATAGGAACTGAACTTGTCGAGTGTTACATTGTTGCTGGTGAATGTTAATGGGTGTTGAAGATGTGCAGTATCTCTAAAGCATTTGTGCTGAACTACTATACAAGTTTAGACTGATGGCGATCCAGAAATTCATGGCTTTATATAACAAGTTTCTCCTCACCTTGTCCAAACCGACCAACATCTAGCAGGTTTGGAAGAGAGATTAATTGTAATTTGCTGTACACTTGGGAATTGTAATTAGTGGACTTAGGATTAGTGTAGAACTTCATAGAATGTGGAACACATAGAGATAGGTTATGATGAATTAACGAGAACATCTAATTATCTGCACTAAAGCAAATGAGAATATAGAACGAGTATATTACTTTTGAATTAAGTTGTTACATTGTCACCAGAGGACCACTTAAAGGGTATTATAAGGGAACACTATGCTATCAAATTTAAGAACCGAAATAAAGAAAGTTCATGCAATTTATGACACCAGCACATTCAACAAATTCGAATGGGGCAAAGACATGCTACTAAATGACTCCCAGAACTTAACCTGAGCTACGAGGAGAGGCTGGAGGCGTTAAACATTCCAAGTTTAAAAGTTAATAGGACAGGAGGTGATATGATCACTACATACAAACTTGTAACTGGAATCAAAAGACTTTATTAAAATGAATTTTTGGGGTTTGATTAAATTCCTCTGTTGCTTTTGTAGTTCTTTACCACTTTGTTGCAAGATATAGTACTGTAAAGGTGTTTGTGTTGTACACATTATTTCCTATCCAGTTCTTTAATTCCAGTTAAGTATTGCACTTGCTGTGACTTTCTTATGAGTTTTGTGTGAAAGTAGTTGAGTATGTAATTACCTAAGGGTAATTACATAAGTGCAGTTACAGCATGAGAATTATGCTCGTGGTGTCCCATCTTCCCTATAATCTTTGTCATATAACATTTTGCACATTTAACTCGAAATAAATGCAGAAATGTGGCAAGAGGTTGGGCCCTTTTTTTGTACTCTAAATTAATAACTGATCATGGATTTGGTTCTGATATGGTAATTATTGTTTGTACTAATTTGGTTCCAGCCAATAATATAAATAATTTAATACCTGTATTAAGAGTTTGCTTAATATATAATGTGAAACAGTGACAGTAATGTCTAATTTTGTGTTTAGATGCAATTTTTATTCATCTTGTTTTCCGCAGAGATCCATCTGAGCCTGTAATTGAAGATCTTGAGCAATTCATTCGAAATGAGAGCAGCAAGATTGAGGAGAAGTTGCCTATATTGCTGTGTGGTAATCGTGGCACAGGGAAGTCTCTAATACTAAAAAATTTGGCTTTCTTATTTGGTTGTACTCGTGTCGGTGTTGATTCAACTTTTTGTCTTGTGCTATATTTAGATGACTGGGACAAAGGTGCTGAAGCAGAATTCTGGACTCAAATATTTAAATGTGTTACATGTTTAGCTCCAATTGCTGTGAGTAAATATGGCTTTGATTCCATAAAAGCTGTAATAGGAATGTATATAGATAATATTCTCTTTTTGATTAACTGGGATAACAATGTTGTGGGCCCTATACGCAAGGAAATGCAGCGAGGGACATGGGTAATTACGTATCATGGTTCACATTCTCCCTCTGTAGATTGGCAGATACTCAAAGTGAAACCATACGAAAAGATGCAAGTCCAGGAAATATTACGAAGTGAAAATTCAAAACATACTGAGGATGTCATTCGCTTGTATAATAGCTGTGAATACAAAGATATCCTCACATCCATAGATATGATTAAAATTTTCAGTGAATTGAAGAGTTCTGTTACCATTGGTACAGAGTTTGAGATTGCAGAGTCATATGTGGCTAAGCAGATATGCAGTTCTGTAGAGGATTTAGAGGTAAAACTAATAAAATTGGGAAAAGTTGCATTCGGTACTATTTGCCAAGGAAAGTCTGTCTTTAAGGAAAGCGATGCGAATCAAATTCCTAGTGAAATTAAGAAAAGGTTTCTTGGGCCTCATGGATGTGGTTTAACTTTTATTCATCTTATTGTTCAGGATTTTATTGCAGCAAAATATGTAATTTCAGACCCAAGTATAGCTTGTCTTCAATGGCTTAAAAGAGTTCATTCTTTCAAGAGAGTATTTAAATTTGCATGTTCTTTGTGGTGCAAAGACCGAGATCAGTTGAAAGAAAATTTACACTATGTAAAGGAATATCTGATTCATCTATTCAATATAAAAGAACTAATAGAGGAAAACAAAACTAAGAAAACGCAGGATTGCATGTTCGTAAACCCGATGAAAGATCCATTCACGCATTGGCAGTTTATTGTTCAGCTTGACAATGCGTGTGATGGGCGTAGAGAGATTTTAGAGCTGTTGGCTAGTCTCCTCTCTCATATTCCATGTTGGTCATTTAATACAGATCAGTACTTAGATAATGGAAAAATTAAAAGAATAGAGAAAATTTTGAATAAGGTAAAATTAAGTGAAGATTCCCCAGTATTGATTAGGCTAGAAAGTAGTAAAGACATGAGCATGCTTATTAAATTATGGAATAAGATAAAAAATATTCAGAGTATATATAACTGTTGCAGTGTTAAAATTGTAGTAAATTACAATAGCAGCATTTCTTTAGTACACCCCAAGAGCGTGTCAGAGTTCTTTAGTGTAATCACCAAAGCTCACAGTCCAGTTTACATCACAGAATATACAGGGCCTTTACTTTGCTCAAGCATTCCAGAGCTGCAATGTAAGTGCATTGAGAAATTAAAGAGAGTGAATGTGACTGTGTACGATGTAAATTCTTTGCGGAAACTTTTGTCTTGTAAAGGCCTATCCTCCCTGAGAGATGTATTTGTAAGAGTTGATATTATTAATTATGAAAAAGATGTTTCATACAGAAAAACTGAAGTTGCCGAGCATATCAACTTGAATCTCACTATCAAATATTTTAACAATATTCAAAATTTATTGGATAGTTTTAAATTTCCTCAGCAGTTATCATTGAGTATCCATGATTTATTTATTGAAGAGAATTTTAAATTGGATCTTTCTGTTTTAGACAGTGTAGAAAGTCTTTACATTAGGTGCAAACCAAATATAGAAGACATGAAGCATAAAAGTGCATTTTCTGTTCATGAGGAAGCTATGGAAGTTGATGTACCTTTTGCACCCTCTTGCCCAATTGGAACACTTGCGAGAAGTAATTGGATGTTTCAACTTGCTATGAATCTCTCCCTTCCTCCAAGCCTAAAAAGACTCATGCTGAGGAATGTTGAATTCTACAATGACTCTAATAACTATCTGTTGCTGAACTTTTTCAAAAAGTACAACATAGACAGACTGATGATCTTAGATTCTTTGCTCTCTTTAAAAGGTGTCAGAAAGATTATAAGTACTTATTCTGAAGGTCTTAAGGATGATTTAGAGACAATGACAAAAAAATTAAGAGTAGATAGATCAAGCAGTTGTGAAGTCCGGGAATTAATTGCTAAAAATCCAAGGCTTTCAAAAGAAGAACGGGAGGAAAGGCGATGGAAAAAGCCAACTGGGAAGGAAATAATAATAACATCGGAGGTGGACTTGTGTACAAAGTGTACAAGATTTCCTTGTGTATGTCCACCACAGGAGGGAGTTGACAGCCGTGATACCTTTGAAGATCTCATTTACCTAATTGAAGATATTTATTGTTATGATATTCTAAATTTCTCATATACAAGTAATATCTTTACTATCAGGAAAAATTTGTGTGGTGATCTCCGAGTCCACTGTATCACAACTATGCTGACTGATGACGTTGCTTCTGTGATGGGTTCCTCAGATAATTGGTTAAGTAAGCTCTTTCTGACATTAACTTTGGCACAGAATATCTGCTTTGATTATACAAATCTCTCTTATAAAGGTGTTAAGGATGTCATTCATCACCTGAAGACAGTCAAAAAGAGTCTTGATACGCCCGAGCCTTTCTCTTTGACAATAGGATCAACATGGCATCCTTTATCCAGTGATACATTATCTTTAAGCAGTTTTATTGAGTTTGTTGAAGGTGAGACATGCTTAGAGCAGCTGAAATTCTGGTGTATGTGTACAGGTAAATGCTTTATTTTGAGGAAAGCTCTCAGTGGTAAGATATATGTGGACGATAAACTTATAAAAGAAAATGGTTAACATAATGGCGGCAAGTCCAAGAGGTAAAGTATTGCAAGTGGAGTGCTCTGGGGCCATGTCCTGGGATCTCTCTTATTTATCATGTACACAATTATATAAAAGATTGACTCATGGAAATACACAGCATTAGCAAATTTGCCATGACACTAAAGTAGGGTGGGAAGGAATCTGAGAAGACTCAATATTACCACAAGATTACTCTGATAAGAACTCTTGTAAATACTGTATAAAAAATATATATATATTTTTTTTTTTTAATATGTATAAAAAAATTCCAGATGCAATTTAACATTAAATGTTGAATTCTAAACCTAGGAAAGGATAATAGAGTTACCAGATATCGGCTGGATAATGTTGAAACTACAAAATCTGAATGCAAGAAAGATCTTAGTGTCAGTGAATTTTTGACAAAGCATAAATATATAAATGCTCAAAATAAGGCAGATATGATGCTAGGACACATAGCAAAAAGTTGGTAATCAAACATCTAATGTTAGTATTCAGCATTATCTTGCCTTTGTTATGCCCTTTTTTGATTATGCTGTTCTGTTTCGGCATGCACTATGAAATGAACAAAAATTCGCTAGACAATATACCGAGAAGGACAGTGCTAATCTGGGCATTAGAGTCATTGAACAAATTGCCAGGAAATAATTACGTGGGATCACTGGATTGTTTTAAGCATAGGTAAATGTGTATGACTGTGCCCGAATATGCTCCACACAAACAAGGAGCAATGGTTTCAAGCTCAACAATATAGGACAGAGAACAGGAGATGCTTTTCACCCACAGGGTTATAAACCCATGGAACTGCCTACCCGCCGAAGCCGTAAATACCAAAAAACTTTTAACTTTTAAAGTACAGCTGGCAAATGGGGAGAGGGGGGGGGGGACCTTCGACAAGCCTCCAGCTTCCTGTCCTCGTCGAGGCCACTAGTCTTAGTGGCTCTCGGGTAAACTCAGGTAAATATAAAAAGGAATTGCCTTGCATGGGCCAATAGGCCTGTAGTTTCAGGTATTCTTATACTGTATTCTGAATTTGGTAGACATTTCTCTGGTCTGTTTTGAATAAAGTAATGGAAATGCTCTGCTGCAGAATATTTATTTTGAATATCTTCTTCTCATTCTGTCTGTGATGTGAGGAAACCTTTGCAAGTTCGTAGAACAAGACTCATACAATGTACCTAGTCAAGATATTTGTATTATTGTTCAGTATACTGGTATAATTGTTTCTTTTTTACTTTATTACACTTGTCTCAATTCTTTCATTCATATTATACTCTATTTTGCAGTGAAATTGCACTTGAGATACAGTATAGTGTTAAGAGTTATGCCTTATCTGGTGCATTAAGTGTGAGGACAGGTTGCTTGTATAAAGAATAGTATAAATAATTACTCAAGTTAGTGCTTTTAGTGAAGCATAATTTGCAGTGTCTTTCAATTAAAATATGTACCTGTTAAGAATGTGAAAATTTGGGCTAGTTTAGTTACTGTATTTCATTCATATTGTATTACTGTATTTTCCAGTGTAATTGTGATTTTCAGATTACTTTTTTTACCAGGCTTTAAAGTTTTTATAAAGTAAAAGGTTTTCAGATGAACCTTTAAAATTGAGAACTGGCAATATTACCATGAGGTTATATTTTGCTATTAGATGTTGTTTTTATCCTCATTTGATTTAGGGGCGCTATGATGGCAGGTGAGCCTGAAGTGGCCAGTGGTGCCTTTAAGGGTAAAATGCAAAGCCTTGTGGCTATGTTCACATTGCATGTCAGTGTAAGTTAATGTGCCTTCTGGCAGTGGAACAGACTGTAAGGTGGATGTTTCAACTGGTCAGAGTTAGTCATAACGCTGGCCCGAGCATCACGTGACTTTGATGTGGGTGCCACGCGGGTAGCAACACACATTTGGTGAACGGTTTTCTTCTGTGTGATCTGTTGCAATCTACGGCTTTGTCTCATAATGTCTAGCAATTGTAGTGTTATGTTGAATATGGTCACTTGTGAGCATTATCTCTGAATAACAATAGTTACCATAACCCCTTTCCACTATTGGCTGCTGCCCAGAGGCAGGATACCCCAAACATTTACAAAACCTGTACACCTTTTCTCAATCATGGTGGGTTTGTTTACACTTATTAAACAGTGTGAAGCCATTTATAATAATAATCTTGGGTTGTGAAATTATGAAGCTCGTAAATTATTTAATAAATGTAAACAAAACTGCCATGATGGAGGAAGGATGTACAGGGTTTGTAAGTGGCTGCTTATACTGTATGCGTGATGAATTCTGGCTGTGGAAAGGAAAGACATGTCTTAGTGATGCCTCTGTCTCTGGTGCTTCTTGCCCCCATTTTCTACTTTGTCCATGTCAATATATTTCTTGTTAGCATTGTTAGTTAAAGTTTCTATGTTCAGTGTATTTTAAAATTATTTTATAAATTATTTTTTTTAATAATAATTCTCATACTAATCGATAAAAGAAATTTTGACACTGAAACAAAAAGTTTACTTTTTCATGGTGAAATCAATGAAAAAAACTGAGACTGACCTTGTTTGTGTTTTAATAGTTTATAAGCCATTTTGACTAATAAATTTGTAATGTTTTCCTGGATTATACTCTAAAATATTTGAGTGATAGGTTTGAACTTTAGGCTTAAGTGTTAAGTTTGGGTTATAGGTTTTATATCGGGTTGTTTACACGATTTGACTTCCATAAACGGGAGATAGTACAGATAGTACTCTCTGTACTATCAGGTTAGATAGTAAAGTTGGGTTCGTTGTCAACGCACAATCGAGAATTCTGGGTTAGAATCTCAGGCAGGACAGAAATGGTTGGGCACATTTCCTTTCACCTAATGGCTCTGTTCACTTAGCAGTAAGTAGGTACTCAGGAGTTAGTCAGCTTGTTGTGAGGGTTGCATCCTGGGTGGGGTCAGTAATTCAGCCAGGCGGGGGGGGGGGGGGGGGAACCATGATAAAAGCCTAACGTGTATGAACACACTCGGGCTTCCTGTCCCCCCAACACAACGAATTATTGTATTATGGATGATAAAATTTGAAGTGGTTTGTTTAACTCGAAGTGTTGACACCTAGGCAACCAACCTAATGTATAGAGGCTAGTGCTCAGTCTGAGGCAGTGTCAGTATTGTGATATAGTGCTGTACAGTACTTTTAATTTCACTCAATTGTCAGAATTTTGATGATGTGGTTGACAGCATCAAAACTGCAGTGCATTAAGTGTGAGGACAGGTTGTTTATGTACAGTAGTTTACAAAATTATGCTCTAGTTTGTGCATTAAGTTAAAACATAACTTAACCCCTCCACCTAGTGCCTCCTCCCCTTACTGGGGGGTGGAGGCCTGGTCGAGGACCGGGCTGCGGGGACACTAAAAGCCCCGAAATCAACTCAAGATAACCTCAAGATAATAGATCATGCCTATATCATGGGAATATTCATTTCTTATACTTTTCAGGCATAAGCAATTATGAAAAATACTAGGCATATAAGAATAAAAAGTGTTACATTGCAATACTTAATGAGGTCACCTTAAACCAATTACAGTACAGTGCTAACATTTCTTACAATGAAACCCACAACTTTTACCTAACTCCTGGCAACCTATTTACTGTAAGGCCAGCAAAAGCATCAGGTGAAAGGAAATTTAGCTCAAATGCTTTTATTATGTCATAGGAATTGAACTTGGTACCTTTGAATTGTGATCCAACTGCACCACAGATAATAGTGTTCTTGGCTTTGAATGAGGAGGAAGTTCAAAAGTTGTGAATGAGTAACTGAAAGATAAGAAAATTGAATTATTTATTTATTTTTATTTATTTATTTATTTATTTATATATATAAAATTTCTTACATTCTTGTACAGCCACTAGCATGCATAGTGTTTCGGACAAGTCCTTAATCCTAATTTTCACACATACACACACACACATTCCCCAGGAAGCATCCTGTAGCAGCTGTCTAACTCCCAGGTACCTATTTACTGCTAGGTAAACAGGAACATCAGGATGGAAGAAACTCTGCCCATTTGTTTCGCCTTTGCCGGGGATAGAACCCAGACCCTTATGACTACAAATCCCAAGCGCTGTTTACTCAGCCGTCAGGTCCCCAATTATGTAGGAAAAGGCAAGGTTATGGAATATTGTGGATTTTAGAAACTTAATGAGTGGCTAGATTTAAATTTTAGGATAAAAATAGTTGGGGGGGGGAGGGTGGGAGAGATTCTGCGAATTTTGCTCACACCAACAGAGTTCAATTCTTTTGTTTTGGTACATTATTATATGGTTTTGTCTGGCAGTAAATTGATGCCTGGAAGCCAGGCAACTGTTGTGGGTTGCATCCTGAAGATCAATAGTTGAGCCAGAGGGCCCTTTAAGCTTAACAAGCTGTACACCATAGCTCGTGCTATTTGGAAATGTTGTTCCGAGAAGCTGAAACTAAAACAACCACCACCACCACCTTACAAGCTTCTTTTGATTATTGGACACCAAACATGTTATTATCAACAGTTTATTTATTTAAATTCACTACTATTTGTGTTAAAGCTTTAATACTGTGTACAGTATGTTGTATTCTTTTTTGGGAGTTACTTTACCTTGTGATGATTTCGGGGCTTGGAGTTCCCGCGGTCCGGTCCTCGACCAGGAGCAATAATTAATGAAACCGAGCCAATGCTGGATGCCAAACGTAGGTCAGTCCCAATTAATGTTTGTTTAGAAAAATAAAAGAACTCGTACTGTATGAAATTTTGCTAATCTTTGGTATTTTGTAAACTACAATATTGAGTCAATAGCCTAGGCAAGAATGTGCAATAACTTTACATCATTTTTTACATCATTTTTAATATTTTTAAGCAAATCTTTGTCAAACTGGGCTACTGGGATGTATTTTTGCAGTATCACATTTTATTTGTAAAATGTTTAATGGAAAATACTCTGCATTATTTGGTAGAATAAGAGCCACTCCTAGAATAAATGTTACACTAAACTTACAATAAGTGAAAATCAAAATGCTTTAGTTGGGCTCAACCATTGCCAAGTTGCTGGCACTTTACACTGGTCAAGAATGGACTAAAAATATTCTTGTCATACAAATTTATTGTGCATTACAGGGCCGTATTTAGAACTTTAAATTGACAATTCTTTCTCTTTAAGTTATTTTATTTTAGGTTTTTATATGATACAAATTTTTTATAAAATGTGAAATAATTTGTTTTAGAATTTTAAGCTTTTAATTTTGTATATTTAATTTAAGACAACTCATAGTACAAATAGTTATAATAGAAGCTTAATGATCGAGTTATGTAGAGCATTTTCTGCATGAAATGCATTTGTTTCATGGAAAAGACTGGTCAGTAAAAGAATGAATTTTCTTGAATGCTAAAAACTATTTCAAAACCTTATTTTAATTTTTTTCTTGTACAATTCTAGTGTATTTCTAAGCAATTTTGTTTTGACAAATAAAATGAGACAAATATACAGGTATTGTGTTTTAATCAACTACCTTGGAGAGCTGGTCGGCCGAGTGGACAGCACGCGGGACTTGTGATCCTGTGGTCCTGGGCTTGATCCCAGGCGCCGGCGAGAAACAATGGGTAGAGTTTCTTTCACCCTATGCCCCTGTTACCTAGCAGTAAAATAGGTACCTGGGTGTTAGTCAGCTGTCACGGGCTGCTTCCTGGGGGTGGAGGCCTGGTCGAGAACCGGGCCGCGGGGACACTAAAAAAAAAAAAAAACCCCGAAATCATCTCAAGATAACCTTGTGTAGCTTACCTAGATGTGCTTGCAGAGTCACACTTGGCTCCCAGCCCTGCTTCTGAAACATTATATATATATATATATATATATATATATATATATATATATATATATATATATATATATATATATATATATATATATATATATATATATATATATATATATATATATATATATATATATATACTATATATATATATATATATATTATGTATATTATATATATACATATATATAATATATAATTATATATACAGTATATAAACCACCGGGCAGAGCTGGTTAAACAACATTGATATAACAATAAATCTGATGTAGGTTAGGGCTCTAGTTGAGCACGTTTTGCCCGCCAGGAACGATATCAACGTGGAATTACCATTACTTTCGGATATTGTTGCCACTGAAAGATAATTTTTAGAATATTCTTACCTTCTGGTTGACAATATCCGTCAAAGTTTCTACTGGCGTCCTTGTGCTGGTATTTTTGTGCGTACCCGCGAGTAAGGTCATGGGTGCTTACGTGTTGCGTTCCGGTGAGCGTGTTTTAAATTGTGGGCGGGTGGGCGTTTTTTTTTTTCGCTGCAATTTAGATAGTTCATGCTTTTTGTGTTGTTATTTAAGTAGAGTTTTACCCAAATTGGTCTAGATTTGCTAAACAGACACATACACGGGGACACACTGTATGTGTGTAAGGGCGCTGGTGGCTGAGTGGACAGCACGTTGGATACGTAGTCTTGTGGTCCGGGGGTTCAATTCCCGGCGCCGGCGGAAACAAAAATGGACTAAGTTTCGTTCATCCTGATGCCCCCTCTGTTACCTAGCAGTAAATAGGTACCTGGGAGTTACAGCTGTTACGGGCTGCTTCCTGTGTGTGTGTGTGTGTGTGTGTGTGTGTGTGTGTGTGTGTGTGTGTGTGGTGTGTGAAAAAAAAGTTAGTAGTAGTTAGTAGCAGTTGATTGATTGACAGTTGATAGGCAGGCCGAAAGAGCAGAGCCGAACCCCCGCAAGCACAACTAAGGAAACTTAATACACTAAGGAAACAAAGGTGACGAAACAATACTAGAACATTTTCTTTTGCAAAGAGTGGTAGATGGTTGGAACAAGTTAAGTGAGTAGGTGGTGGAGGCCAAAACCATCAGTTGTTTCAAAGCGTTATACGACAAAGAGTGCTGGAATGACGGGACACCACAAGCGTAGCTCTCATCCTGTAACTACACTTAGGTAATTACATACACGCTACGATGGGGATGAGCAGGTTGTTATGGACCTTTTCCCTTTGTGAAATTACCTTTCTTTTGTGAAGTAACCTTCCTTGTAAGAAGACACCTTGCTCTTGTGTTGAGACCTTTTCCTGCGTAAGGAAACCTTGCCCTTGTGAATGGACCCTATCCCTTGATGAAGGGATATTTTCTCTTTATGAAGGGGTCTTCCTCTTGTGAGAAAACCTGTCTATCGTACTTAAATGTCACATTGAGGTCAACTCCCATTTGTATCTTGAGTAAAAGGCTACTCAATTTAGCATTTTTGGGGTAACGAAGCCTATTATATATATATATATATATATATATATATATATATATATATATATATATATATATATATATATATATATATATATATATATATATATATATATATATATATATATATATATATATATATATATATATATTTAATTACACTTTACATAACTTCAAAAATGTTCTGAAATATACACTAAAGCGCTCAAAGAATTTCAGGTTAAATTTTTTTCTATGGTTTTACTTGATTATATTATTCATCGTTTGTTAATTTCTTTTGAATTAACTCACTTGGCATTTAATTTGTTTATCTCAGTCTCCCATAATATACTATTACTGAGGGGTGGAGCCCTCTGGTGGTCGTGCTGGAAACTCATATATCCAGTTGTCGACAGTATTTTTCCTCCGTATCCAATAAGATACCAGGATCCAACCCTAATTACGTCACAGTGACGTAACACGAGAACCTGTGAATATGTTTTGTGTGTGCGTTCGTGCGTGTATGTGTGTGTATGTGTGCGTATTCACCTAGTTCTGCTTGTGGGGGGTTGAGCTCTGCTGTTTCGGCCCGCCTCTCAACTATCAATTAATAAACTGTTACTAACTACTATTTTTTTCACACACACCCAGGAAGCAGCTCGTAACAGCTGTCTAACGCTCAGGTACCTATTTACTGCTAGGTAAGAGGGGGCATCAGGCTGAAAGAAACTCTGCCCATTGTTTCTCGCCGGCGCCGGGAATTGAACCCCGGACGACAGGATTACGTGTATAGCGTGCTGTCCACTCAACCCCCCTCCCCACACGTGTGTGTGTGCGTGCGTCCGTGCTTATTACCAGTGTCTACAGAGGAGTGATGGCTATATCTCTGTATGCCCCGCCTACTAGCCTTGTACCTGATGCGTTATAATTGAGCTATTCTGACTTTAAATTATTTTATGCATTTTGCCTTAAAGGTATGGATTGGAGGTGGCTTTCATAACGTCTTCAGTGCAAGTACGGGTATATATTACCTTAATTTTCTTCAGCTCATTTGCGTTTCCAGCTAACACATTTGTCCTGTTCTACTGTCTCTTAATTTGAATAGGATATGGTAATTCTTGTATATCCCCTTCAGTATCTTGTATCTTGTGATCATACCCCAACTGTGTAATTACCTGAGAGTAGTTACAGAAATACGCTCGTGATGTCGTGTCTAAGGAAAAATTTCAAATATTTTTTCGGCACCTTTGTTTCTTTAACTTGAATCAAGGACTTCTTGTTCTTAAAGTTTCAGATTTCAAGAATTCTTTTTTAACAGTTTTATCGATTTCTCTTTCTATGTTGTACATATATTATCATATATCGCCTCTTTTTCTTCTTCTAGTTTCCAGTTTAGACATATTCAACACGACGTGAGTTCTAATATTCCCTTAGAGATTTCTCTTCATAATTACCGTGAACTGTGTATCATTGTGAATGGTCTTCCCCGTGTTCAGCCTACCTGTGCTAGTGGAGGCTGAGGGTCCCCGTGCTCACCGTTCCTGGCCACCCAAAGCTTGGGGAATGTACCGTATCTCTCATCAGCTTAATCCGTCTACGGGCTGCCTGCTGCCGTAAAACACAACCGGTTAAAAACCGCGGAAAGTTATTGGTGGTGGATCAAGTTTGGCAACAAAGTTTGAGTGTTGGGAGGCGAGCGGTCTGCCAACAGTCAGTCAGTCAGGACCTAGCCAGCAGCGAGGGAAGACGTACGCTCCTCCTACCTTGACGCGTTTCTTGAATTTTTATGTAGGCCACTGCGCTAAATCTACTGACGGGGAGGAGGTGACGTAGATAGTAGAGTGTTAACTATGCGGAGGGTTGGTTTAGGTAGTGGAGAGTGCCGGGGTTGTTATTATTACCACTGGAATTGACCCGTGGAAACATTCGACCCGACATTTTTCCAGTTCCTGCATTTGTGCACAGGTAAGTCCATTATGTAGCCCACTGCGCTACCTGTGGGGAGTGCTTGTTAGACGCTAACAAGACAGTAGTTGTAAGCCAGTGTGCCTGTATAATGCCTGATGTAACAAGACGATAGCTTGTCAGAGTGTCGATACGGCATGGTTAGGTTCCCCTACACTAAGAACCACTCAGTAGTTAGTGTAATCTGGTCTTCACTAACAATCCATCAGTTGTTAGCGCGTCTCTGAACCATCGCTCACCTAAACTGAACCGAACACATGACACAATACACAGAATAAATGCCATTGTTATGGCATGTGGAATAGGTAAAATAGGCCACATATGAACTAGAAATTATGTGGTGGAGAGGTGCTAAAGAACGATCTTGATAAGAAAAGGTCTTACGGGCTATTCATGCCCGTTCCACTTCTTGGGTGGCTTAATCTTTATCAATCAATCAATCAATCCAGAATAAGGTCTAGGAGTGGTCGTGGATAGAAGAGTGGCACCAGAGGACCACACAAGGAACATTGTGCGAAGAGCCCACGCTACGCTTCTCAACTTAGGCTTTTAAATACTTAGATGGCGACATACTTCAGGAAAATGGTCCGACCTTTGTGGGACCAAAAGTGGAATGTGCAGCGGTTGTATAGTGTCCATATCTCCGTATTATGTGTAAGCTGGTTGTTGATTGTTGGAGAGGACTAATTAATATCCAGCAATCAACAACCAGCTAACAGTGGCTTTACAAGCAGCTAACAGTGGCTTTACAAGCAGTGGCCAGTGGCTTTACAAGATTGTAAATACTATGCTATGTATTCTCTCTAACCCAATGTACCTTCTTGTATATAAATAAATAATAAATAACACATAATTACATTCTACCCACTTCAAGACCCAGAGCCAACACAGACACAACATCCAATGACCCTACTAATACCCCTCCCCCCCTCTGATTGATTATTTATTGATACCCCTTGATCCATTTATTCACTGATACATTAATTACCCAATTAATACCCCCCCATGTTATGGCATTCATCCACCACTCAAAGCGTATATAATCTGATGTTAAACACGGTAAAAAAAAATCGTTACAGCCCCGCTCCTGTGCCAGGTAAGTTCATTACGGGCTCACCATAGCCCGTGCTACTTGGAACTTTTTGTTCCCAGTAGCTTAATCTAAAACAACAACAACAACAACAACAACAACACGGTAAAATTGTCTTTGAAAAGGTGAACCTTGTGAAACGCATTCCTAGGCGTCAGACTATAATAAAAGTGTAAAAATGAACTTTGGGGAGTTAATTTTTCAACTTCCCTTAACAGTGATGAAAAACGAAAGACATATTGAGAAGATTCGTGTTAGAATTATTAATATTACCTTTTGATAATATTCATCAATTTTGATAATATTCATCAATATATGTTTGCAAGAAAAACTGCTACCAATATATATATATATATATATATATATATATATATATATATATATATATATATATATATATATATATATATATATATATATATATATGCCTGGACCTAAGAGATGCGTTTCGTTAACTCTTATTAACGAAACGAATGCATTTATTATGCACGCTATACCCACGGGATGAGTATGGGATGCTAATAAGTGACTAATAGAGAATAAGTCACAGTCAAGGGGGGCAGAAACAGAGAAGCCAATGCACAACTGATTGATCGTGGCGACGCTTCCGTCCACCCTTCACCCTTATTACCTAGTTGTGAGGAGACTGGGAGAGAGAGAGAGGGAGAGAACGCAAGCCTGTTTCTACCAATAGACTAATCACCAGGAGATAATTAACCTTGGATCTCCACATGTGAGACGGCGCTCAGAACACTTGCTCTAAATATGATAATTTAATTGACAAATTATTCAGTACATGTGTAAAGATGTATAGGGCGGAATGAGTTGCATTGGAACTTATGGGTCTGTGTAGCATTGTAGGCAGCGCCTGACTGCTGGGGTGGACAGCTCTTCGGATTCGTAGTCCTGAGGTCCCGGGTTCGATCCCCGGTGGAGGCGGAGACAAATGGGCAAAATGTTTTTCACCCTGATGCCCCCTGTTACCTAGATAGCTGCTTCCTGGGGTGTGTGTGTAACAATTACCTGGTGGTCCTGGTCGAGGACCGGGCCGCGAGAACGCTAAGCACCGAAATCATCTCAAGATAACGCCCTCGATTCCCAGTGGGGGGACCCGGGTTCAACCCCCGGGCATGACCGAAGGGATTGAGTACGTTTCCGTTCACCCAATGCTTTTGTTCACCTAACACTTAACCCATCCTCCTATAATGATAGCAAAGGGAATAATTATTCGGTCGAACGTACAAAAATGGACTGTTGCAGCCAACACTGTTCACGTTTCGTAGTATTAACATTGTAGCGAGCACGAAAACAAAACCAAAAGGCATACATAAACATTCGTAGACCTAGTAGCACATTTATTAGGCCTAAGATATCGCATAGTAGGCCTAGAATGGCTTGGCCAGGTTTCTTTACTCTGCCATTTGGGTCAATTCAGTATACTGTAATACAAAATTTAACTTTTTTGGCCCAACAGTCCGTTTTTGTACGTTTGACCAAATAGTTGCAAAAAGTATTGTCATTATCAGATGATGAATGGTAACAGCCAATAGGGACCAGGGGGTTAGGCAACTGTTGTGGGTAGCATCCCGGGGAAGGTCAGTAGTTGCTGTAGACAAGCCTAAGTTCAGGCTTTCTGTCCCTGACAACGGAAATTAATTTAAAAATGATGTCGCAATCAACTGGCAACCCGAGGCATAATTATAATAATTAAATAGTTAATAATTACTACTACTAATAATTATTATAAGTGAAAATTCAGACTATCATTCTTAAAATAACTATGTTTTATATACATAAAAGTGATACTTGTCTGATGAGATAAATTTTCCGTGATGTGTCATAAAAAGTGGTATTTTCTCATAAAAAATAATACTATGACGCAGAAATATGTTATGGAAGACCTAGGTTAGGTTAGGTGTTTGCTTGCGTTAATTTATGCAACAATTAAATTAAGTATGTTTACGAATCGTAGCACTGAACGCTGTACCGAATTTCTCTTTAATTTTAAGAGGCTTTGGATAGGCACCTTTCCTCAGAATTTGCACCTATCTAATATCATATATGAACTTTTATTTTTTAATTTGCATTCATATGTCTGTCGGAAACATATATTTACTGGAATTTATTTGAATTATTAGATGATCTAGGCAGAGTTTTCTTGCCCGAAACGCTATGCTTGTTTTGTGGGTTTGGATATATGTAAAAATAACTATCTTATGTAATCTCACTAACCCATTATACCTTCTTGCAAATCTAGTATTCTTATTATTATTATTGTTAAACTGTAAAACAAATTATCGCTAAATAATAACGTTACTTGTAATGTGTTGTGTGTGTAAGTTATTTCATATTAAAGCACATTTACTGCGTCAAAGTTTATGTAATGGAATGCGTACCCAAGCAAAGTATTTTATAGTATCTTGAAAATTGAAAAAAATATATATTTTGGCCGCATAATTATAGCCTGTCCTTATAAACAGATGACCGCCCTCATAAACAGTAGACTGTCATAAACACAGTCCGTCCTCATAAACATTAGACCGTCCTCATAAACATTAGACCGTCCTCATAAACACAGACCGTCCTCATAAACACAGACCGTCCTCATAAACATTAGACCGTCCTCATAAACATTAGACCGTCCTCATAAACACAGACCGTCCTCATAAACACAGACCGTCCTCATAAACATTAGACCGTCCTCATCAACACAGACCGTCCTCATAAACACAGACCGTCCTCATAAACACAGACCGTCCTCATAAACATTAGACCGTCCTCATCAACACAGACCGTCCTCATAAACACAGACCGTCCTCATAAACACAGACCGTCCTCATAAACATTAGACCGTCCTCATCAACACAGACCGTCCTCATAAACACAGCCCGTCCTCATCAACACAGACCGTCCTCATAAACACAGACCGTCCTCATAAACATTAGACCGTCCTCATCAACACAGACCGTCCTCATAAACACAGACCGTCCTCATAAACACAGACCGTCCTCATAAACATTAGACCGTCCTCATAAACACAGACCGTCCTCATAAACACAGACCGTCCTCATAAACATTAGACCGTCCTCATAAACACAGACCGTCCTCATAAACACAGACCGTCCTCATAAACACAGACCGTCCTCATAAACACAGACCGTTCTTATAAACACAGACCGTCCTCATAAACACAGACCGTTCTCATAAACATTAGACCGTCCTCATAAACAGTCCGTTCTCATAAACACAGACCGTCCTCATAAACACAGCCCGTCCTCATAAACACAGACCGTCCTCATAAACACAGCCCGTTCTCATAAATTAAGGTTGAGTGCTCATTAATCCAACCGCCAACCGTTTATGAGTGAAAAAAGTTTTACAAACGACTCATAAGTGATAACGTTTGAACTTGAAGAGTGCTTCGCTCTCTTCCAGTCTTGAATAACACCTCTAAATGCTTCACCCACATACTAAACACCTGACCTAACCTAGTGCCAGCTTTACATAAAATCCTTAAATATAATAATATTAATTTATATATGAGAAATTACCGATTTTCAATACAACTTTTTTTTGTTTACATTGGCGAATGCATCTTTTAAGGGAGGTCGCAGTTCGGACGAGTATAGTTTATGATGGGTTTGGATCGGCAGTAGCGGCTCGGACAAGTATAGCTTCGGATTGATTGCGGTCGGCAGGTGTTTGGAGGAGCGTCTTCGCATGAGATCGGGTTGTTAACTTGGAAGGTCGTGGTTCGAGCACAAGCGAGTCTCTGACCTATGTTTATGTCAGTATGTGGGCGGCATCTGACTCGATTATTCAGTTCAGGTTTCATTTAAAAAATATGAAAGCACTTTAATATATTGAGAACGTGTCTGTTAGAGCAGCCCATCCTCATAAACAATTAGCA